TAAAAAGGGACATGCTTATGATGCTGAGAGGCCTAATAAACCCGGACGGAGGGAGTATAGCAGATCCGATAGCCCGTGATGTCGAAACGGGGGGAGCGCCATCACTCCCAGTGGCGGCCAGTTGTAGCCAGCAACGTCGCAGCTGAGGAGGAGATTGAATTGAATTGACGTGAGCCCGCACATGACGCGGTGACTTTTTCCAACGTTTAAACCCGCGTCGCTATCTCCTCCTCTCATCCACCTCGAGCTCAACACATCGCGTCGTTCCTCACCCCTGACATGCGGGTCTACATATCGTTGCGGTCCCAGCCGTCAGTTGCACGGTAGGTAAACGTGCTGCGTGTGCGTAGCCTGGGAGCTGGGCCTGTGTCGGTCGAGGGGCATTCATTGTTTATTTGTTGAGGTAATAGCACCAGGAGTCCCACAACTTGTCCTGGATGTGACGATTTGGTCCCAAACTTACAAAAGCCAACTATTGAGTCCCACAACTTGCACCCAACGTGCAAATCTGGTCCTAGCCAATCGTAGCACGACAAGTGGAGCCTAGTCAGCACAGCCTGTCAGCGCAGCACATTTTGCAATTACCCCCCGGCCTTAGCAGTAATCAACCCGCACTACAGAGCCGCAAGAACAAGCGCTCTTCGTCGTCGTCCGCGTCAGCGAGCGCCTCAGCGGCCGCCTCGGCGACTGCGTCCGTCGCGAACTCGTCCATGCTCGGCGCGGCGCCGAACAAGAACCAGAAGCTGGCGCACGAGGGCGCAGCGCACGACCTGAACCTCGCGTTCCCGCACCACCAAGGCGGGATGCAGGCGCAGGCGGATTACATGGCGTTCCCGAGCCTGGAGAGCAGCAGCATGTGCAACCCCGGCGGCGGCGCAATGGCGGGCAATGGCGCCCGGGCCGGTGGCGCGCTCTCCGCGATGGAGCTGCTCCGGAGCACCGGCTGCTATATGCCGCTGCAGATGCCCGGGGAGTACGGCGCCGCGGGGTTCTCGCTCGGGGAGTTCCGCGCGCCGGCGCCACCGCAGTCGCAGAGCTTGCTAGGCTTCTCGCTGGACGCGCACGGTCCGGTTGGCGGGGCTTCCACGGCGGGGTACGGCTCCAGTGCCGGGATGCAAGGGATGCAGGACAGGTCGGGCAGGTTGCCGTTCGCGTTCGAGGACTTGAAGCCGACGGCAAACTCTGGCGCCGGTGGCGGTGAGAGCGGTGGTGGTTCTGGCGCAGGCGTGGATGGCGGCGACCATCAGTTCGAGCCAGGCAACAAGGAGCAGCAAGGCAACGGCACCCCCGTTGGGCAGCCCGACACGCCGGGGTTCTGGAACGGCATGATCGGCGGCGGCGGCACCTGGTAACATGGACGGCGGCGCCCATGCATGCATAGCTCATGCGATCGGAGCGTCGGCTGTGCGTGTATGCATGCGCTTCCAAGCTGCAGCTGGAGATAGGGCACAAAGGTTTAATAAGATGGTGGATATGGTGTTTGATATCTTTTTTTCTTTCTTTCTTTCTTTCTTTCTTTCTTTCTTTCTGGTGTTCTTCTTCTTCTTGTTCCTTGCAATTGTGCTCTAGCCGTTCATTAGTGTTTGGTGATCGACTTGGGGGCTAGCTAGCTCTAACACATCAGACAGGCTGACATCAGACTATCAGAGTACACAACATTTTAATCTCTGTTCATCGGTGCCATGGATGCTACATGCTGGCCTGTGTGAAGCTTCATTTTAGGCCGGCTTGGAGTTAGCTAGCTAGGCCTCGGTACATAGCTATCCAGTACTACGTACATGGCGCATGTGGCGGTGCGGTTTCTCTGGTTTGCAGGGCCAACTTTAGGAGACCTGTAGGAGTGGGGAGAGGACCGAGCGTTTGGTGGTAACAACAATGCACTGCATGCATGCATGCATGCACGGTGTTTCAGCTTTTTGTGTAGATGCAGATCGTTTGGGGACCGAGGATTCCAATTTTGTAGTAGTAGCATGTAACTTTTGTACTTATATTATTTGTAACTTATGTTACATACTTTGAGTACAAGTACCATCATCTTTGTTTTCATATACAAATTCCTCTTCATTATTGGGCTTGTTGGTTAATGCATATGCATATATAGGCTCGTCTAAAGTTGATCGGAAGAGGTATTTAGAGCATGTAATAATATGTGTCCTTCAGTGTCATTTCCAGTTGAACTGATTATATTGGTGTACATCTTGGTGCCTGTTTTTTATAAGCTTGTCTTTCTATCTGTCACCTCTCCCTGCCCTCCTTTTTCTTGTACTAGCAGGCAAAGCTCTGAGATGTTATGTCTCGCCACCGTCGCCCCGGAACCAAGAATCTTCCAGCCATGAAAAGCCTCAGGGTCGGAGTGATGATCTCGTCGGCACTAGCAAATGACTAACTGATGATCTCGTCGCATACCCGCTTCTCACTTGGTCATTCTCCCTTGAAAATGCCTCAGGGTCGGAGTGATTTCTGGGAATGTGATATTTGGGCCACCACTCCAGAAGTATTGGGCAGAGAAGCAGCAGCAAGATCAGCATTTTGTGCAAATGACTAAGCTCTGACCGGATTTGTAGTGCTGGTTGATTACTGCTAAGGCCAGGGGGGTAATTGCAAAATGTGCTGCGCTGACCGGCTGTGCTGACTAGGCTCCACTTGTCGTGCTACGATTGGCTAGGACCAGATTTGCACATTGGGTGCAAGTTGTGGGACTCAATAGTTGGCTTTTGTAAGTTTGGGACCAAATCGTCACATCCAGAACAAGTTGTGGGACTCCTGGTGCTATTACCTCTTATTTGTTTTGGTTTGCTTGCTGTGAGATGGCGAGGGCAATTAAGAGAACCTGATCAAACGACTAAAATATGGCCTGCCTACGTAAGCGAAAAGCAAGCCTGTGAGTCCAGAAGATTATGGTTTGGAGCAGTGTAGGAGTATTTTTTTCCAGCCACGTGACATCACCGTGGACTGCCCAAGTATGCACACAGAACAAACTAGTCCTAGTCTTCACGCAGTATATACGTTTTAAACGAGGCAGCTGAGTGGGTCAGCTTCACGGCCGTTCTGGTAGACAGCAGTAACCAAAACCGACACTAGTTTTGCAATTCTTGCGGGGTAAGTTGTGCACTGGTACTGTACCGTCCGTCTGTACGTGGTGACGCAGACCAGCAGATCCGATCTTTCATTACGGTGGATCTCTGGGGCGGGCGATTCCTCCTCCAGTTAAGAAGAGGAGTGTGGTGGCATGGACCCTTGATTGCCGGCGAGCACTGCAGGGATCCATCCATCCCTTTATTATTGTAAGCGTAAGCGGCCGGTGGCAGTCGCCGTCAACGGAAGCGGCCCAGTGCCGCCCAGAAACTCGCACGTATGTAGGCATAAAAAGTTGATTTTTTTTTTGTTTTGTTTACTCTGGCCGGCCACTTGCCAGGCAGGGCCATGCCATTGCCGCGGCACATGGAGTGATGGCGAGCGGAGCCAAGGAAAGAAAAATAATGCTGATGGATACTTGCCGTGCTTCCCCTGATCGCCAAATGTTTACATTACACGGGAATCGGCAGCATAGTTACACGGGCACGCCGCGTCCTGCTGACGACGAGGCGCGGCAGCGGCGGTTGCGGTGCCATGCTTTCCCCTTTTCCCCGATCATCTTTTCTTCTGCAACGAAAGGCAGCACAGCACGCCGCCGTGCTGGTCCGTCTCGAGGAGGGATGGATGTTTCCATGGGGACAGCCAGCAACTGGGTCGTGCAAGCAACGCCTCTAAAGGTCTACGTGTATCTTGCTCAACAAAACGTGCAGCCATGAACCCAAAACCATGGAGGAAGTGGCACATGGGAGGACCATGCCAAACGCACAAATTTGTCGTTGCAAAAAAAAATCGCTTCAACACCAAGACAACTACTAACACACGATGTTCATGGAATATCCTATATGCATGGAACAGATAAAACGTAGGGTAGCCATCAAAATTTCAACTCCTCAAAAAAGGGCAATGTGGAGACTCTCTACTTTACATGCGGTCAATGCCGAAAGCGAAAATGCAAGAAATCTCGAATAACAGACCAACGAGATAGACCAGAACCCTAACGAGTAATCCCAAAAAACCGTCCAAGGTGTCCACATAAAGAGACGAAGAATCCTATATAACGAAATAAAGATGCACACTGAACCGGCAATGCTGGCGACCACAACTATTTCACATCAAATGCTCTTAGATGGCCCCAGTGGCTAAATGGTAGACCAAGCCCAATATAGCGAGCTAATTGGGACCATGGCCCTGCATTGAAGTTGACATCTAAAAAAAAAATCTATCTGGCTTGGAACGCCTGTCTTCAGGTTGAAATGCAAGGTAGACCATCACTTTCAAGTTCCAACTCCCCTGGTGAAACAACAGAGCAAAATATGGGTTACTAGGACTATCTTTCATTAACACAGCTTACAGAGCAAAATATAGGTTACTAGGACTCCCTTGCATCCCTATCTTGCTCCCGCTAAAAGGCCAGGCAGATAAAACAACAAAGCTAACAACAAGATCAAGAGAATAGATTCAAACTATATTGATTTTTAACTAACTTGTTTTCCAAAGGAACATGCCCATACATTGCAGATGCAGGCGCATACAGCAAACAAAATGTTGATTAGCAATTAGCATAGCTTCAGAATCCAAAAACGCAACATCAAATAGGCTTATACCTATCTAACTTTTACAATAACTATTGGCACCGCACTTGTTCAAGCAATAGATGCATCAATGGGCATAGGAAAGTTCTCAACCCTTGGAACATTCTATTAAAAATTCTCTCAGAACGTGCTCCTATCATAATACACATTTGACAGTGGATGATAGTGTATACTGATAAAACACATGAAGCATGCCAACGTGAGCCGTTGCTTTTTAGTGTATCACATGCATTGACCATATGCATGAGCTTTTGTAGACTAACAACAAAGTTAAATCGGGGGAGTTACAAACCTGCTGCAGCAGACGCTACTCTGTGGAACAGGTAAACATTACTACGGCCTTGAGATTGACGTAGGATATAACTGAACCCATGAAAACTCTTCCTTGTAGCTAATATTTTGATCACATGATCCTTTACATGTGTACACAGCAATTGTTGCCCAATCAAGAGAGTCTGGTTCATTTCTCACACCAAAGTAATAAAGCAATTGTGGCATTATCTGGAGATACAGTAAACACAGTGTAAGGATATGTAAGCACATGATCCTGTATACGCAAGCACGAGGGAGGGAAATGTAACGATTACTGATAAGCATGTTGGAGGCATCACTGAGACACTGACTAAGCATAAACTTCACACATATGAAGTTCCATAGGTACAATTATTTGGACATTGCTCTCATGGGGGTTGAAAGGAAAAACATGATACCATAAGTTCACAGAAGTAATTCATTAACAACATTCTTTTAGTTTCCTATTCGGACACAAGGAAAAACAACTTGGTCATAACTTATAGGCACAAACCATGCCATGCATACCCTGCCACAGCCTGGCCTAGTAGCATAACTGATTACCATAGTTAAAAAAGGCGTGCCTAAGCGAGCGCTTAAGCGCGCCTAGGCTCTAGGCGTTGGCAAAACGCATTGTGCATAACTACGCTTAATCTGTGCATAACAGCGCATAAGCATGCGCTTTGGTCAGTAAAGCGCAAGGCGGTGGCAAAACGCACAATTAACGCCTAGCGCTTTTTTGAACTATGCTGATTACACAGTCCCTAGTGCCAGTGATCGATAACTTCTGAATCATGTTTTGTTATTGTTATTATTATTTAAAAACTGATGGTAGTGATGGCTCATAAACAGAGCATTTGCCCGACAGACATTTTAGAGAGCAGATGGGCATTAAAAAAATATTGGGCATGAAAAATGTAAGGTTTTCAGTCTATTATTTTTGTGGCAACAAAATATTGACTACAAACCTATTACTGCTACAAGGGGGAGTTATCATGGAAAAACAATTGGGTTTTTGAGTTTACTAGTTGTGTGGAAATGTGTTGCTATATCAGAAATGCAAATATTTTTGGCCCTAGACAAATTGACCAACCTGAAATTCATAGCATAGTGGACCTTTACAGTAGCTACATGAAGGGATGTCAGGATTTGATGGACGCCCAGCTGATAAAGCCCACAGAGGTTTTACATTTGGATCTCGACAGTATCTGTGTAATTTAGACTTTTATTAGTAATATGCATATAACATATATTGCTGAGAATAAATATGCAAGCCAACTGAATAAACTGAATTACAAAACGATTGAAACAATATCGAACTACTATTTTCCTGAACAGGCAAAAGTAAATTGAGAACATCACCGAACAAGGAGAGGATTCATGCAAGTTATGCATACCTCAATACTTGCTCTGGTGCTCTTGAGATACGCTCTTGAAAATATGCCCAGCATTGGTTGTCAGCATCAGCCTATATAACATAGCAGTGAATAAATAGTGGTTGCTATGTTGGCAAGCATAAAAGAGAGAATGCACGGCTAAAAACCTCAAATTGATCCATCCATGACTGCATTGTATCATCTGGTTTACCATGCTTTTGCATCACCAAGGACTTTGAGCTGTCTTCATCACAACCATCAGAATCCAAATCAACTTCATCGTCAATTGCTATCTGATATTCCGGCCAAGAAGTCCTAGCTGGAACTGCAAATAGAGAGGAATTATAAGAGGATAAAGACAAATTCAATAATTACGACCTTAATAGCATTATTAGTCTTCAAACATTGTTACCTTTTCCTACAGCTGGCAGCACAGATCTTGAAGCTTCAGAAGAATTGATTATCTGTAGGCAATCATTTTTATGACCAGAGCGCCAGTGCAGTGCCTGAGAAAGAGTCACAAAAATTTGTTTATCCAAAGTAGGACCTGGTTGCCAAAGGGATATGTAGGGTCTGTTTGGTTGGTGTCCAAGCCAGTCAATACTTTATTGTACTGGAGGTGTACAAAGGATCATGAGTGTGTCCAAAAATTGGCAAGGATCAAACCAAAGGCTGTATATTTGGACATGACAAAGGGGTAGATTTAACACAAACATGAGATGCCCAAGAGATCTCTAGGATGATTAAATGATTTGGGAATACCTGATGTTTCTCAGAACAGTAACGTGATTTCTTGCAGCCACCACATATTTTATCCCCTTTCCATGTACCACACCAATGACACAGAGCAGCTGGCAACTCAGAGTCAAGTAAACGAAGGAAATCAATATAAATTGCTTGGAATATGGCCATCTATTAACATAACCAGTTTGACTGACAGAAGATGGCCATTGCTGCCTACGAATGTAAGCGCATCAATATACTAAATTAATCAGCATCTAACAAACCCCACCAAACTTAGTCTCAGCAGTCGGCACATTGACAGTGCGATGTTTTTCTAGGAAAAAAACAGAAAGCAAAAGATTATATGTTTCCTAAGGAAGACATTAGAAGCAAGGTGCCGATATGTGGAGCAACCAGCATAAACAAATGAAGATGATAACTTCAAGATTTTAGCATATTGAAAATATGATCTAGGAATTCGTAAGTGTAAATGAAGAACATATTTATGCAATAGCTAGATGGAGTGAAAGAGATCTGCTGGACATAAGCACATTTTCTCTAGGATAACTAGCTAATTACTACTACGTAATGCAGGAAATGTAGCACTAATAGCATACCAAACTTATTAGGCACAGTAAATCTAAGATGCCATGTAACTGAACAAAAAGGAAAACTACCTCCGGCACATAGTGGCTTGTCAGAGTTATTGCGACTTGGAGGTTCACTTGAGTAGAACACGTTGGTACGAGGCAGCTGGCACCGGAAAACCCTCACGCTGCAATCCAACGAGGCAGTCAGGATCAGCAAAATGTTTTCAGTCTCTAGTCTAAAAGCCAACACAGCAGCTATAGGACTTGCTTCACCTTCTACGAGGATTGCCTTGGTTGCGTGTCCACTGTTCGTGCTGGTCTCGGTGCAAGCATGCCATCGACGGGCACATGAACATGAACAGAGTGCGGTGGAATGCTGCTGTATTGCTCTCAATTGGAGCATAAATCTACAGAGATCCAAACACAATTTGAGATGAAGTTTTCATCCATTTAACTAGTACAAGTTCCGGAAAGAAAATAACAGGCACAATTGCTTCTAGGCACAAAGCAATAACCTGGAGGACAAAGTGCAGGGGCTCGCCGCAGAAGCCACAGCAGCTGGAGTTCCCCGTGGGCAAGTTCACGGGATCCAACCACGCCTGGACAAAATACACAAACACCTCACATTAATACCTGCTCCAATTGCATCAAAATCAAAGTGTGTCGCTTAATATGATGGGCGTTATTGCACAGACCGGGATGCCTCCAGCCTTGCTAGGAAAGAGGTGGCGGAGGAGGAGGCCGGGATGCTTCGGCTTCTCCAGGAATCCAAGCATGACTTCTGCTTCTTCATCTTCATCCTCGTCATCATCATCATAGCCCGAGGCGGCCGCAACCACGGTCACGGTGGAGGCGGGCAGAGGTTGGTTGGGCAGTTCTGTCTCATCATCGTCTTCATCGTCCAGGGAGGTGATGCGAAGACCACGTAGCTTGTCGGCGTTGGGCTCCATCGATCAACTGCAGTGGAAGAGATGGATGAGGCGGGATTGAGAAAATGGCCAAAATACCACAAGTCAAAACCAGAGGTTCCAACATACCACTAGTGATGAAAACCAAAGTGTAGTCAGTTCAGTTTACATGACAAAATACCACTAGCGTCTGTCTAAGATACTCAAAAGAAAGGCATATACACTCGCCTCTTCATACACTGTACTTACAATTCAGCAGCAAATGAGAAGCATTTGTAAATTCGCTTCACGCCGCCGTGAAGAATACTACGCGTCAAGTTGCAAGGTGGACGGGATATCCCGCCAGGCCGCAGCGCCCGCAAAAGAGCCCGCAAAACTGCCGCTGGGCTGACCGCGGGCTCAACGGGATGAGCCGCATAACCGCGTCACCCCATGCTTCTCAAAAAAAAAAAAAACCGCGTCACCCCCGCCTCTTCTCCAAAAAAAAGACCTAGTCTCTTCCGATGGGGCGCCCTTCCTCCGACCTGCCGCCACGGCCGATCTGACGCCCATCCTCCGCCCCCGACATAACGCCTGCATCAGTGCGCCGCTCCTCGCACCTGCTAGCCATTCCTGCTGATGGGGTCGACGGCGACACCGCCGCCATCTCCACATCAGAACTGCCTCACGCCTCCCTCACGTCTCCTCCAAGAGGATGTTCCTCCGTCGCTTCCCTTGCCAACCGGAGTTGTCGTTTTGTCGCCGTCAACTTCCGCATGGTCTGCATCCTCGCTGCTCCCTTTCCTCTCCTCCAAGATCCCAAGACCTGAAGTTTACTAAATGGGCATCAGGATTACTGAATGTTGATTTTACTCAAGGGGAGTTATGTTTCAGATTTAGAGGGTTCTCTCACTGTACAGTGAATCCTGTGTCTTTATGTACACTTTTCAGAATCTTGTCTTTCTGAATGAGCAAGAAACCAAGCAAAACATTGAGTTTACTGAATCTTGTTTCTTACGCAGCAGTAGTTTGTATCTTTCTGTAACTGAAAAGTAGACAAGCATCATCGGCCGCACTAAATAGTGTTAATTCTTACGTACATATTGATGTTTCCTTGTCAAATTGGCTTATGCGGAGGCTGCCGCACTGCCCCCGCTAATTCTAGCGGTGTGTGGCGGGCAGCCGCATCCCGCCCTGCCTGCAACCTGAACTACGAGGAACGAAACAGGAGAAAATAATCATACTTGGCCGTCGGAGGTCGCGGCGGCGAGTCGGGGCAGGCGTGGCGACGCGGTCGAAGTCCAGCAGGCAGGGGCGTGGGCTTGGTTCAGTTCACAGCCGAGGTCGCCGAGCAGCTTCTGGGCATCAAGGTCGGCGTGGGTGCCGAGCAGCAGCAGTCGTCCTCCTGGTCCGGGAGTGGGCGTCAAGGTCGGCATGGGCGTCGTGGGAACTCGAGCCAGGGGCAGGGGCAGGGGGGATGGCGGCGGGGCAACAAATAGTGAAACGGTTTGCTGTTTCTGGAAGGAAAACCCTAGCCCGTCCTCCTGGTCCGGCCTAGCCGCGTCCCACGCGCCACAAAGCGAAACCGACCGGGGTCGGGCCGAGCGCCACAAAGCGAAACCGACCGGGCCGAGACTCGGTCAAACACCTGAAAGTGGGTTGGGCAGGGAACTTTTAGCCTCATGCACCCTACACGCAGGCTACCAAACACACCCATAGGCTCCGACCACTCGCTCCCTCAAAACCCTTCCCTGCCGCGCCGCCGCATAAACCCCTCTTCTCCCTCCCCACCCGCCGCCGCCGCCAGTGGCGGAGCCAGGATTGGAGCAAGCCCCGGGCCCAAAAAATTTTTTTCGTCGCGAGAGAAAAACTTAACGCCCATCAGGCTATAGCTACCTCAAAAGAATATCTCAAATATGGCTCAATTGCACCAAAAATTTAGACACTTCCATTGCGGCCACCGATGAATAAAATATCTTCATCTTTTAATTCTACAAAATGAAATGAAATTGATATCAACAGCAGCAACAGCATTCACTTTCAAATTCAATTAAAATGTAATTGATTTTTTGACAGCAGCAGCAACCATTAGCAGTACTGCAGTAGCACATCTACACATTAGCATATCAAAAATTGTACTGCAGTAGCACATCCACACAGCAGCAGCAACCATTCATGATTCATTAGCATCAGGACTGATTAGCATCGACACATTAGCACATCCACACAACAGCAGCAACCATTACGACTATCCAGTACCATATCCATTCATTAGCATCAGACCATCAGTATTAGGATTTATTGTAGATGCACTTGCTGTTTGAAGAAAACTTGAAATTACCTCGGCTGCAGTCGGGGAAGCAGTTGCCCGGGGGAGACCGGGAGGCGGGAGAGGCCGGCAGGACTGGAGGGTGGAGCAGGGCAGGACCGCAGGAGCAGAGCCGGCGCGGCGGCGCCCCGCGCCCGGCTGGAGAAGCACAGCAGGCGAGCCAGGCGAGGAGCGCAGCCGAGCAGGCGAGCAGGGCTGCAGCCTGCAGGGGACTGGATGGGAGCGCCGAAGTCAGGGGAGGGGAGCAGCCGAGCAGGGGACTGGAGGGGAGTCACCGGCCGGCGGCGGCGGCTGCCTCGGCTCCCTGGAGGTCTGGAACTCACGTCGCGTGGCTAGGTCTGGTCGTCTGGGCGTCTGGCTCGGGCTGCTACGCCGGCAAGATGAGGCTGCCTGGGCCCTGCCTGTGTGTTGGGCCACGCCCCGGGCCCATTAAAAAAATATGGCTAGGTAATAACTAAAGAAAAAGCCACGCCCCGGGCCTGGGCCCCGGGGGCCCAGATCCGCCCCTGGCCGCCGCCGCGACGACCATCCGCCCAGCGCGGCCATGGCGCCGGCCCTCGCCCTCGCCCCGATTCGCGACCTCCTCACCTCCTTCAGCCCCTCCTCCGACTTCCTCGCCCTCTCGTCCGGCGACGGCCGCATCAAGGTGCGGAATCAAACGCCGCCCATCCACGCCGGAGCGGCTCGGGTTGCCGCTTCCTCTGTTAACACGACGGTTTGCCTCTGTCGCAGGTATGGGACGCCGTGCGCGGCCACTTGCAGACGGAGTTCGCCGACATCCCCGCGGTGGAGGTCGGGGCGCTCCCCGAGACGAAGCGCGGCCACCTCGCCCTCGACTACACCTGCATGAAGTGGGTACAACTCTCCACCAAGGTGAGAAATCACTCCCATTTTTCGAGCTGCTGCTGTCTGGTGCTGCGCCCGTGTGTGTGCGTGTGCTGTGCGTCATTGCTTGTGTTTTTTGCCTAGCAGAAGAAGCGGAAGGCTGGGAGTTCGCTGCTCGTGCTTGGGACGGGCAGTGGCGATGTCCTTGCGCTCGACGTTGCTGCGGGCCACTGGAAGTGGAGGATCAGCGATTGTCATCCTGGGTATGGCTGGTGGTTCAGTGCATTTGTGTCATGCTGGGAGGGGAACCTCGTTGTTCATTTGTGGAAACCACATTTTCTTAGTACGAAATGTTCATAATGCCATGCCAATTACGAAATTCCTTTTGACGCATTGTTGAAGCACATACCCGCAGCTGTAATCTTGGCTTTGTTTGCTATTTCCTGTTGGGGTTAATCTCTGCGGAGCTTAGGCTCAGATGTGTTCACTTATGTCGGTGTGTGTTTTGTATTTGTTCAGGGGTGTGACAGCAGTGGCATACTCGAGGCATGGGCGGAGTGTGTACACAGGAGGCGCTGATGGCATGGTCTGTAAGATTGATGCCTCAGATGGATCTGTTGCAGGGAAATTTAAATCTTCGTCGAAGGCAATATCTGCGTTGGCAGTTTCATCAGGTATGTCTTCTTGATTTATATCTATTTTCAGTGTTTCACTACTCTCTATGTTGCTAAATCATCCATGTCTTGCTTTTTCATCTGCACTATGGATGTTTTTTCATCTGTGTTGTGATTTCTTCTTCAGACATAGTTTAATTGCTCTGACTTACCCTTACAACAGTAAATAGTTGATGATCGTAATGACCTTTATATTCAACAAATAGATATTGACCATCTTTTATCCATGTTATCATGTTGGCGCCCTCATGGTGTTGGCCATGTCATGGCCTAGAATCTCTAAATGATCTCCACAGTTTGCTTTTCAAACTATAATGGTAATGATCTATTCGAAGTAGATATGGTAATGCAACACACCTATTATCTACCAGACACATGGATCCATTTAAAGAAAATCCCACTGTCCTGAAAAATGCCGCTTTTACTTGTTTATAATCCTTTTTCTTTGTGAAATCTGAACTTTATCTATCTGTTTATATGATATATGCGCAAATGTATGCTATTGTTAACATTATATGTATCCTTTGAGCTAAGGGTCTTTTAATATATAATATCTGTCTGTATGTGTATTAATCTTATGATGCAATGAGGCATGCATGCCCATTTTGTTTTGCTTGTATCTGCTCTCCTCCATACCAATCATTTCCACCCCAGTTCAAAGAAATGAAATGCACTTTGTATTTGATCTTAACAGATGGAACAGTTTTGGCAACAGCAGCTGGTCAGTTGAGGACCTTTGACGCTTCTGACAACAAAAAAATTCAAAAATTCTCTGGGCATCCGGTGAGTTTGTCTTGTATGCCCTCCTGTACTGTGATCCTCTTCTGAATTTGTTATCTTTTCAATTGTATTGCTTTTTCTAAGTGCACACCTGTTGCTATTGACTACATGAACATTTAGGTGTCTGAGAAACATGATTTTTAGTAACAATGGCAAATATGTTCTGTCATCTGGAGTTGGGGAACGCTATGTTGCCATTTGGAAGTTGGGCAGTGGTAAAAGTCAGAGTTCAAGCTGTATACTCTCTATGGAACACCCAGCAATCTTTGTGGACTGCATGTGTTCAGGTACTAATGCTACTGAAGGAGAAATAGATGTGTTGGCTATCTCTGAGGTTGGTATCTGCTATTTCTGGTCTGGGAATAACATGGATGACTTGCGCAATAAGAAGCCTACTAAGATTGCCTTGTCCGAGTCCTCCCTTTCAAGAACGAATCAGGATTTCATGATATTTG